ACACAATTCCTGCAGGAGTAAAAACGGGATTTATTTAGACCAGCATGCTGGGACTCCGCACAGCATACCCCAAAGTGGGCAGTGGCTGAGAGTCCCGAGCTTCTTCAAAGGGGATCTTATATAGGCCTTCACTGGCCGTTACAGCAAGGCCCACACATTTCATAGCCAATAGATTTGTAACATATACTTTCTTAACCAATCCATTTAAAAGTACCTCACTCCTTAGCCTATAGATTCAAAGATCAGCATTTACGTACATCGATTGTCAGCACAAGGAAGGTTATAGCCGGAATCATTAAGCCTTAGGTAATCTCCCTTGACCATCCACATTTTGAGTTACCCAAGTCTGCAGGGTGCTTTAGTGAGACAATACACTCCAGGAAAGGGCAATTTCCCCCAACCACCGCATCCTGAGTTATCCTTTACCCAAGTCTGCAGGGTGCTTTACTGAGACAATACATTTCAGGAACAGTAAATACACCTGAATCCTGTGACACTTGGTTTAGAAAGAAGTTATGCCCTGTTCACTTTCCAAGTCCCCTCTCCCCCAGGTGCAAAGCAGCCAAGCAGTTTTACATAAAGCAATGCTGCAAGTTAGCTGAAGCACGCAAAAATTTGATGCCCTAATATGGATTCTTTCACCTGGAGTGGGGAAACCGCCTGAGACTACCAAACGCGGGTGGCGGGAGAGATAGGCCGCTGCCATCCCCTTGCCAGGCTTTTTTTCTGTGTTTACACAGTTTGATATGTTATCGCCCCACCCCAATTGCTTCCTGATGGTCTAACATACAGTCAGCGTGATAATCCTTTGCCATTTTTTAACATTTGGTACAATATTAGTTTACAATATTGTTTTATAGGAATTGAGACCAACAGGTGGCCCTGAAATACTCACCAAAGTGGATTTTCCAGCCCAAAGCTACTCTACACTTTCTATTATTTACACTACACCTTCTCCATTGATATGCTCATTAGCATGATTGTTATGGACTGATTTTCATTAATAAAGGTAATGAGTACTAGAAATGTTCTCTTTTATTGAATGCAATGATATTTAAGCTTTGCACATTAGCTAAAATGTTTTGACAAGCTCTCCTTAGACAAACAGAGTACAGTTGACCCTTAAACAAGTTGTAGATGAGGGGCGACCACCCACTCATTCCAAAGACAAAAATTCCCATGACTGGCCGGAGCAGTAGCACAGCGGGTAGGGCATTTGCCTTGCATACAGCCGACCCAGGTTCGATTCCCAGCATCCCATTTGGTCCCCTGAGCACCGCCAGGGGTAATTCCTGAGTGCAGAGCCAGGAGGAACCCCTGTGCATCGCTGGGTGTGACCCCAAAAAGAAAAAAATTCCCATGACTTTTGACTTCTCCCAAACTTTCCTTTAATTGAAATTGGAATATCATGGCTACAATACTGTTAATATTATGCTTTAGGTGTACAAAGTGACTGTATTTCTAATACCATCAAAGTGCCAAAAACCTCCCATTGTTGTCTTTATGCCACTTCTTATTCACCACTTCTTTTACCCCCACTTCTAACCCCCTTCACTTGGTAACCTTGGTAACCTCAGTTCTGTAGTCACAGTTCAATATTTAAACACTAAGAGCAAGCAGTTGGCTGGAAGCTTTACTGATAACATAGACAGTGGATTGATACACATTATAACATAGACATGGATTATCATAAAAGTCTTCATCCTGTGCTTGGAGGACCCACTCGGAATGGGAGATGTGTACTGAAAATAGACTATAGACTGAACATGATGGCAACTTAACACCTGCATTGCAGACCTCAACACCCTAAAGAAGAGAGAGAAAAGGGAATCCACCTGATACAGAGATGGGGGGGATGAGATGGGGATATGAGAAGGATACTGGGAACACTGGTGGTGGAGAATGGGCACTGGTGGAGGGATAGATACTCTATCATTGTATGACTGAAACATAAGCATGAAAGTTTGTAACTCTCTAACTGTATCTCATGATGATTCATTAATAAATAAAAATTTTAAAAAATTTTAAAAAGTCTTCATTCTGATTGCTTTCACATTTAGTTGAATGAGGAGAAGGAGTGAAAGGGAAGTTAGTCTTGTTATCTCAGGGGTGGCCAAAATAAGAGGGAAGATTTGGAAAGAGAGACAGAAGAAGCAGGTACACTTGATGAAATTATATAAATTTCTGCCAGATAAAGGTAAAGGCCCTCCCGTTGATCGTCGATTTGCTCGAGCGGGCCCAGTAACGTCTCCATTGGAGACTTTGTTGTTACTGTGTCTGGCATATCGAATACTCTCGGTAAAATATTTCTATATGCTACCAGTATTTCTGCCGTTGTTTGCGTTCCTTTCAGAATGCTGGAAGAAGTCAAGGCAATCTTGACTCATCAGAATCCTTCTATTTAATACCAACGTGTTTTTCTGCCTTGGCTGCTCACAGTCTTCTTTCCCATCATCCAGCTGAAAGCATTCTTCGCCACTAAGTCGTCTTCTGTTCATCCCACTGCGTTGGTGTTTATCCTCACAAACATGAATCATGTCACAGTTTAATCCCATCACGTTGTTCAAGGTACAATTGTGTAAGAATTTGAGAATTTAGGAACTAGAGTTCCTGTAAAACTCTAGTAAATCTCTTAGTCTTTTTGGGATGAAGAGCAAATCAATTTATAACTGTGGCACCAAGATTTGCTGTGTGCTGAGCAATTGTGGGAAGAACTACATTTGATCTCTGCCAGAACTACTCAGCCCTGGTATTACAGCACACAACTTCAGCTTCCACAGTGCAGAAACAGCCTTAAACAATAGAAATAATGAATGTGGCTACTTGTCTATCATTCTTGTGTGTCACAAAAGATGTTCTTTGATTTGTTTCTTTTTAAAAAAAACCGGGGGATCCCCTGTGGCACTCTTGACCCAGGGCTGAGAGCAATGAAGGAATTAGGGAAGTGAGCCAGCTAGGTGGTTAGGTTCTCACACCTGTTAGTGCAGGGATCCTAGGACCCAGAAGTGCATGGACTGGAGTGGGGATATGTCATGGTGGAGATAAAAGTCCTACCACTGTGCATGCCGGGCATGCGCTCAGCCTTTTGAGTGCTCTTCCTGGTCCTTAATTTCTTTCCAATCATTTAAGAACCTTCTTTTTTTTCCCCCCTTTTCAGTTTTTTTGGACTACAGCCAGCTCAGGGCTTACTCCTAACTCTGTGCTCAGGGATCATTCCTGGAGGTGAGCAGGACATCAAAAGAATCTTTTCTTTTTTTTAAGGGGTCACTATAAGTTTGTGAATATTACAAAAGGAGGTAAGATTTGGCCTAGAGGCAACATCTCTTCTAGACAGAATGCTTAGAGACAACATCTTAGGCTAAATTCCTAGGTTTTTGCAAGTCTACCTTAAAATTGAAGAGAATTTTAATTGTCTGGTACCAACAGGAAGAGTTACAAAATTCAGCCCATGAAGGGTAGTCCTTTCTCCCTTCAGTGAATCTTTGGTGCAAGGTCATCATGTGAGCATATGAAATCCTGGAGTAGTTAATTGTGTTTCACTTTGGTTCTACAATGAAGCCATCTGAGGGATTAAAAAACCTACCATGCCAAACCAATCTAGATTTTTGGGTTGGGACCTAGGGATAAGGATTTGTCCTATCTTTATAGAGGATCAAATTGACATATAAACTAAAACCACTGATCCCTAAAGAACAAAGAACAGGAATAAGTTAAGCTACAGAACAGATGCAATTATTTCTGTAAACAGACATGCATTCCTTTAGTAATATCATCACATGTGGAAGAAATTGATCTTTATCTCTGGACATGTGGTGAGAGTGCAAAAGAGAATAGTTCCTAAGGATAACAGTACAAATGTTCCTAAAAATATTAAATATAGGGGTATTGTATAATCCATCGGTTCCACTTTTGAGTATCCAATGCAAATAAAGTTACTATCTCAAAAATATACATATAGCTTTATGAACATTGCAGTACTATTCAAAAGAGCTAAAGCATGGAAAGAGACTAAGTGTCTTCATCCATCAATTGTTCAATGGACTGAAGAACATATGATACACATACAAACACCAGGAGTATTGTTCAGTCACATTAAAAAAAAACATGCTTTTGTTTGAACAACAGAAATGGCTCTTGAATACTTCTTGCTGACTTAAGTAAGTCAGGCAGAGAAGGACAAAATACTGTATTATCCCAACTCTGTGTGTGGTGTTTGAGTATGTCTGTGTGTGTATGTGTGTGTATAAAATTTAAAAACCAGTTGGTAGTTGCAGGAAATATGGAAGATGAAGATAGTCAAAAAACACAAACTTCCAGTTAGAAGATAAATGTGTCAGAGGATGAAAATTCAGCATGGTTACTATAGTTTATAATATTTTTATTGTCCCATTTTTGTGAAAAGAGTAAATTATAGAGTTTTAACCACTTAAAAATAATTTTGCAAAAATTTTAGGTGATGGATATTAACTACATGTATCACAGCAATCATATCAAATATATACTTATATCATATATTACACTAAATACTTTGAAAACATTATATGTTAAATATTATACTGAATAAATACAATATTATATGTCAGTTGTATCTAATAATAATAGTAAGCCTTATAATGCAAATAAGGAAACTAATGCTTGGGAAAAGCTCCACACTGTCAAAATGGGAAATGGAGACTGAAGTCTGTGTGATGTGACCCCAGCTTTGACCCCTAGTACCCAAGGTCAAGGATGAGGGTCCAGGACTGATATTCCTGCCCTCACTCCACTTCCTCATTTCCAAAAGCACTGGAAGAAAATGTGTTCTGACCTTCTGCACAAGAGCAAAAACACTTCCAGAATGTTCGGTTATGATTTGGTTGTAACAGAATTTGCTTAACCAGTCACTCTGAAAACATCTTTAGGCAAGAAAGCAAGAAGATTCAATTACTTAACATCAAGATGGACCACAACTAGGCAATGACCTGAGACTGCATCCCAGAGCAGGGGTGCAGAGAAATTTTGTAGGCATTTTTCTGGCAATCTTAGCAATGGTGAAACAAAGAGAAGAATACAGGAATGAAGTTTTTCAATTTATTGCTTCGTGACAATACACTGAGGTAGGAGAGGCATAGCATGGGACTTGGGGCTGGGGGGTATCTTTGTTCTGGGAATCTTTGTAGTGGATCCATTCCATTTTTGATCCTGTGGAGACATTTATTAATGTAGTGATTGTTCTATGGCCCCTTTCTTTTCCTGTCCAGATAACAGGTGAGTTTGTTTCTTTCTGTTCTGTTCTGAATCGACTTCTGATTTATAACCTATTCATCTCAGCCTATTTCCCATAATGGGCCACTCAAAGCTCTCACCAATTGTGACCTCCTGGTTAACTGTGCTTAATTAACTGCTCATGTTCCTAACTTTCCTATCATTATAACAAGAATCAAGATAAGACATTTCTTAGTTCAAAGGATACAGGGAGAGTCAGGCAACAACCGCAATTTTACCCATACATGTCAAAATTTTAAATCCATGTTTGATTTAGACAAAATGAGCATGTTAGCATTTGGTTTGCTTTAATGAAATTATCTTAAAGCCGGATATTCACATTTTCATGTCACTGTGATCATGAGCAAGATTTGTCTGCAACTGAACATCTGTACATTTGAAAATGTGCAAGGTGTTTGTTGATAAGTTGACATGTTGAGTACTTTTTATCCCACTTCATTTAAACACTGTGATTTACAAAAGTTGTGTATGAGGACTTTTTATAGGCATTCATTATTCCAACACCAACCTCACCACCACTGTCACCTTCCCTCCACCATGTCTTCCCATTGTTCATCGATTTGCTCAAGTGGGTCCAGTAATGTCTCCATTTTGAGACTTGTTGTTACTGTGTTTGGCATATTGAATACGTCATGGGGAGCTGGCCAAGCTTTGCCCTGCAGGCGAGATACTCTCGGTAGCTTGCAAGGCTCTCCGAAAGGGGTGGAGGAATCGAACCCGGCTCGACTGGGCTGGCTGCACACAAGGCAAATGCCCTACTGCTGTGCTATTGTGGTGCAATGGTAGTGCGTCTGACTCCCTCCACCATGGTCTCCATTTTCCCAACCACCTCTCAAGCCTGGCCCCATAGCAGGACCACAATAATTTATTTTATACTTCTTGTTACCACTGAATGGCTAACAGAATGATCAAAATATATTTCCATGAAAGAAGAATTATGAATATTATGTATCTCACAGTGCGGGCATTGCATCCTTGTCTGAGAGTCTACTAAACTGTTGTTGCAAGTTAAGCTTTCTGTGTTAATGTTTTTTGTTAGTCAGGATTGGTTGACTTCTATATTACATCCCATCCAATCTGGTGTGCTATTACTTGAATGTTAGTGTTACAGAGTTTGGAGATGTTGTTCCAGAAAATTCAAAATATTTAACTGGGCAGAATTTAACTGGGTGTGGCTGAAAGGGCTTCCAGAAATATGGGGAAGTGGGTGGAGTTCACCCATCTCGATTCGGAGAAGGCCTGGAGTTTTTGGCACACACACACACACACACACACACACAAATTGTGCACCTAAAATTTGTGGCAGATTAGGATCTGTGTAGAGCTCATTTCTAAGGCAGTGGAGTCCAGCTGAAGGGATGGTGGCAACTTTGGGCGATGGGTGCAGCTGCCAGGGCTGTGTAGGGTGGGAGCGGGGCTTGCCCCATCCTGAGATGGCCCGGGGGTCTATGCTAAATGATGACATACAAGTCACTAAACTCTTGCTATGGATCATAGTATCTATGTTGGATATTTTACTTTAATTACTAAGTATTTACAAAGCATTATTGAGTGTTGAATCTGTTTTTTTCTGATCTCACTTGACTCTCCTTAACCTCAAGGTAAGATACCTCATTGTTAGCAAGGTAAGGATAAGAAATATCTTTCTCCTTCTCAATCAGGGCCTCCCTCACTGGCAGACACTCAGGCTGTGAAATAAGTCAGGACTGGAGAAATAGTAAAGCAGGTAGGGTGCTTGCCTTGCTATGGTTGACCAGTGCTTGATTCTTGGTCACCTGAGCCCCACCAGGAATGATATTTCTAAGCACAGAACCAGGAGTAACCACTGAGAAGAGCAGGTTAACACCTTGCCTGTTAACATAGAGATCTGCAAACAAGAATTGTCACTTTGCCCTAGCTGCTAGACCCACTTCCTTTGGGCTGAGCTAACTCCTCCAACTTAATGGTAAAAAGCTTTGTCTATAACAACTCAATTTGCACTTGAGAGAGAACAATGGGGAATGCCCTGCCACAGAGGCAGGGTGGGATGGGGGGGATGGAGGGTGGGAGGGATGCTGGGACCCGTGGTGGTGGAGGATGGGCGCTGGTGGAGGGATGGGTACTTGATCATTGTATAACTGAAACCCAAGCACAAAAATTTGTAAGTCTATAACTGCACCTCATGGTGTTTCACTAATAAAAATAATTAATTAATTAATTAAAAAACCCTCTTTTCTATGGTTTATCACAGTATCTCGTATTTTGTTTTTTTAGATTTTTATTAAAGCCACATTACAGCCTGTTTTAATGAGCATACTATTTTGGAAAGCCATTCTTAAAGTCATTTTCTCATCCCAACCATCCTACAGCACAGGACGGTGGTGTTATCACTCTGAATAATGCCACAACTAGCAGTCCCTAAGAAAATCAGACAGGCTGACACATCAGGAAACACCCGCTCGGTGGATCCAGGCAGTTCCCTGCTTATCTAACAACCAACAAGCTCCAAACAATGACGCCAGCCAGGCTGCAGAGCCACTGTGTCAAGGCTCCAATTAGATAACAAAGAATTCTCTTCCAGAACCACCTGGCCTCCAAGCACAGCCAGACCCCCGGATCTCACCCAGTGGGAGTGAGAGCTCAGAGCTGGGACCAGCACTGGGAGAAGGCTCACCTGCAAGGAGATTTCAGTTTTCAAGTTCAAAGACTGCCAAGGTAGGTTCAGTATCCTGACCCCTGACATTTTAAGGAACGGAAAGTTAAAGATTGCCCGGTGGGCCTCTTCTACAAGTGGTTTCAGTTTCGCTTTTTGTTAGAAAGTAAATGAAGCTCAAGGACCCACCCCTGCTCTCTGGATCCTGGAGCACAGCCTGCAGCCCGGTTCAGTCTGCGGCAGCCAGGCTGGCAGCGAAGACCATGGCCCTCATGCAGGTGTCAGAGGGGCCCAGTCCTGCGCAGACCTGTGCGCTGATCCTGATCTTCACGGTGCTCCTGCAGTCCTTCTGCGTGTCCGTGACATACGTGTACTTCACCAATGAGCTGAAACAGGTAAGCATGGGGCACGGGGTCCTGCTCTATCCCCGCCTTCGGCGACTCTCCCGTGATCTCTCTCTTGCCCGGCTCTTCTGTGAAGATCGAACAGGGAAACTGCTCCTTTCCTTTCCTTCCGAGACCTTTAATGCCTATGATTACCGGGGAGTTTGCATTAAAAAGAAAAAACAAAAACCGATTCCAGAACTGTGTGAACCAAATGCAATGAACTGAACTGGCTCTGCAAGTTACCAGGAGAAAGGCAACAAAACTCCCCGGGGTAGTTTTATCTTTCCAGGTATATGTGTTTATAATATTAACAGTGGTTATTCTTTGAGTGTTTTCTGCTAAAAGCTTGGTGATTTTTAACTCTAATTCTTAGGCATGAAAGGAGCTCCCCCAGGGCAGGACTGTGCGTGCTTTGATACACCCCTGAAAATTATTACAAACTTCCCATATAGTGGGAGGGGGGCAGACTCCCTAAATTCTTGAATGAATAAACAGACTACAGAAAACTAGTGGAATTACTAGTCCCCAGAGAGCAGGAATCAACACAAAGCCAATGCTCCACCTCTAGAATAAATAGATTGGGGTGGGAGATGTTTGCTGAAAGTAGATAATAGACCAAACATGATAATCTCTCAGTGTCGGTATTGCAAACTATAATGCTCAAAAGCAAGGAGAGAGTATGGGGAATATTGTTTGCCCTGGAGGCAGAGGGAGGGCGGGAAAGGGGGGGGGGTACCTGGAATATTAGTGGTAGGGAATGTACACTGGTGGGGGGATGAGTGTTTGATCTTTGTGTGATTGTAACCCAAGTACGAAAGCTTGTAACTATCTCACGGTGATTCAATAAAATTAAAGAAAAAAAATCCTCCACCTCTAACAGCGCTTTTTCCTAATCTAGCTGGGATGAAGTTTAGTGGATTTCTGAGACTGCAGAAAACTGAACTTGGCCACCAGCCAGACAAAATATAAGCGTTATGTACTCATGGTTGATCTTTCAGCTTCAGGGATTATATCAATGCCAGGATCTCCCTCCCATCTCATTCTTTTATCATCTTCAGTTATTTTTTGGAAAGGCATCACATAGATAAGCAGATTTTAAAAAAAGTTAGCAGGTCAGAACAAAGTCTTGAAATGCTGTCAGGCTTTTCTTTTTCCCTCCCTTCAGAAATGGAATGAGAGTCAATCAGATCTCTGTTTTGGTTTGCATTTCTGTGTTGACATCAGTGAGAAGAAACATAGATGTGTCATGGATAATGACTGGGATCTGTCTGGAATAAAGAGGATATTCCAGATGGACTCAGCATTTCATTGTTTCTAATCAATTATTGAAAGCATTTTATTGTTTCTGATCAATTATTGAAAGTAAAACTAGTATTCTGTGCCCATGAATAATCTTGGCACAAATTCAGGTGTATTTAACAGAAAAGATAGCAAAATTTGTGTCTGAATTTCTCTCAAGTTCATAAGCATTTTGGAACTATGGGTGCAAACTTGCAGAAGATAAGCTGACTGAGTTCTTGAGATATGCAAACATGCATTTTAGCAAATCGCAAATTGCATGCTGTGTTTTAAAGAGTTGAAAGGAAACTTGGACAGGCAGTTTTGGGGTGTGTGTGTGTTTTATTATCATTCAGATAACATGCTTGCAAGAGAGTTAAAGTTCATGGTATTTATGTAAAAAGTTACTGCACCCCAAAAGTGCCCAGGAGCTTCTGCCACTTTCCCTCTGTCAACTATAGTCCATGAACAGGTGGTTTTGGAAACAGAGCCAAGAGGCATTGCTCCTTCCTTCTTAGCAAAGTGGCCATAGGGTTAACATACTACCTTATGATGAACGTTGCCTCCAAATGCAAAATGCAGTTCCACTTTGTTGAGAGTGGCAAGACTAAAGTCCTCAGAAAAATACAACCAGAAAAATTCCGGTGTTTATCTCTTAAGGAAACAGTCTAAGTACTCTGTGAAGGGTAAATTGGGTTGTCTCAATTGGTTGAATATTTGCCTTTGGATTATGTAAACTCATTAATTTCTAGGCAGTCATGAAAATGATGGCTACCATAGATGACCAGTATAATCAGTTTTCCTGCAGGAGCATGTTGAGCAGAACCTTAGTTTTCTAAGTAAAAACCAATGCCTCTGGTTCTAAAGACTGGGTGAGAGGTTGGAATGTTTCTATATTACCCAGTTTGAAGCCAACATCTCCTAACTTTTGTTAACTTTACAGCATAAATAGAGTCTGTCCCTCGGAACACAAGTGGTCTCCTTAACATAGTCCCCTTACAAACTGTCCTAATTTTTTTTTAAACTGTCCTAAATTTTAAGACTAAATCACCAACTATTTACTAAACTGACTCCCTGACTCATACAGTTGTCAGTGCTATGGTCAAGGGTTTTAGGGGTTTTTTTATCTTTACTAGAATTAATAGAAAATTTATTGAAATTCCAAAACACTTTCCATTTGCACACGTTTTCTAAATTGCATTTTCATGTATGTGTACATATGTATCTAGACATACAGAGAGGAAGTTTTTGAGAGTTCCAGAAAGCTGGGAGAAAGAGCATATGTTGAGCAAATACTCTGTGTCATAAGCTTTGTAATCTTGGACAAATTGTCTAAGTTTCTGAGCTTTAGTCCGTAAAATAGAATGATTATATTTACTTTATACAAATTCTCAGGATGAAATAGGGCAAAGCTAGTTAGTTTGAACCCAAGCATTAGGTAGTTTCTCATAAAATATAGCCATTATAATTCTATTGTGAAGTCTCTTCAAGGTAATTCCCTTTTAATGAGAAATTTTTGCAAGAGAAATGAAATTTGATTTTTGTAAGGGGTGTGTATGAGGTTTGGAAAAAATTTTTAACATTATTATTAACTATTTAATACAGAACACAGGTTCCAGTCAGGCTAAGAAATATTTTCAGTAGCTATAACGAGCAAGGGTAGTCAGAATCATGGATTAGCAAGGGGGCTAATGGCCCAACAAGTATGAACAATAAACTTGAGGTTGACCTCTGAAGATTCTGACTCTCAAAAGGGGCTACTTATTGCTGTGGAATCATAGGTAGTGAGGAAAAAGGAGGAGGAGGCCCTTCTCTATCAATTTCCACAAAGGAAGATTTACGCTTTTTTAAGTTTCTAGAAAATGATTGTCGGAGACTAAAGTCATGTCAAAGTCTCTTGTCCAATCAGCAAAGGTGTTAATGTTGCAAATCCTGACTCTGCCAAGGTCTCTAGAGAAGAGTATGTATCTGCTGCAAACCCCATCTTTCCTCCCAGCACCCGCAAATGATAATAGCACACGCAGCTCCTGCCCTCCACATCTAGACAAGGGAAGCCCTGCCCAAGACATATTGCAGGAAATTCACACTTTGATGTAGTAACAATGTGAAAAGAAGAAGGAATTCTGGGACTGACAACAGAAACTTTGAACCACGTGTGAGTGTATGTGTGTGTGTGTTGTCATCACCATTGGAAGCGAGACTGCCAAATATGATTATATAAGTAATATACATGAGAGGGTTGCATGATTGGGGAGTTTTCTCTGGGTTTCTAATGTTTAAAAATCCATATGTAGGCATAAAATTATCTATAAGAAAACCACCAAAATGTCGAAAATTGTGATCCCTAAATGGCAGATAGGATATTCCCTTTCATTGTGTTTTGGTTTGGGGGCCATATCCAGCACTGATCAATGACTGCTCTAGGCTTAGTGCTCAGGAACCAATCTTGGCTGTTCTCAGGGGACCAGGCAGTAGCAGGAATGGAACCCAGGCTGCCCCAATGCAATGCACACATACACTAGTGCTCAGAGCTAACTCCCTGACTCCTCTTTCTTTTTTGTTTGTTTTTTAATATTTTATAAATTACCTAGAGCATATACTGCAAAGTATTTAAGGTATACAATTTAAGATTCTCCTTTTTTTCTTTTTTCTTTAAAATGTTTAGTGAAATTGGTAGCCTCAAGCCAGAATAAGGAACAAAAGCACAAATTATTATTTTAAGGAAGGGATGTATCTTCAGATTCCAGGAAAAAATGAAAGCATGATAAACTTATATTAGTAACATATTTATGTTCACTGTGTCTGGCATATCAAATACTCTCGGTAGCTTGCCGGGCTCTCCGAGAGGGGCGGAGGAATCGAACTCGGGTCGGCCATGTTGGCCGCTTGTAAGGCGAACGCCCTACCCGCTGTGCTATCGCTCCAGCCCACAAATTTAATAATCTAGACTAGAATTCCAATTATTTGAAAGACATTCTCTGTCAAAACACACACAAGAAGTCATCTGAACTGTTCAATATCTACTAAAAAAAATGAATCTAAAAGTATTAACTTTTCAAAACAGAAAACACCAGGTCCAGATGAGTCTATTAGTATATTAGTAGTCTAATATACCTTTAATAAAAGCATTTCCAGTTCCCTAGAATTTCTCATAAAAGAAAATGAAAAAAAATGTTTTCCAGGTCATTCTCTGAGTTGTCTCACTCTAATATCCAAACAAGAAAAAAACATCACTAAGAGAAGATTTTCTTAGCAGATGTAAAGGCATGATATTTTGGGGAAGTTTGAAAAGAAAGTGAGTGCATAAAAAATTGCTTGCACATAGTAGTCAGCTACTCATCCTAAGTTTAAGTAGGAGGTAGGGTTAGGGTGCTCTCAGTGGAGTTTTGTTTATGTGCCCTTTTCCCCCTATATTTTCCCAGGTGGCTGTGTCTCTAGACTTCTTTAATTTGGGGTAACAATGGGGTCATGCTCCTTTGCAAAACTCCCTCCCCAAGGTTACTCAATATTCCGGGTTTCTCCCTCCCACCTTCTGAAAGCGTTACTGGAAAACAGGCCGGGGGTAATTGACACCTGTTCAAACCTGTTCGGGTTCCACCCTCTCAAACTCTGCTCTGGAAGCCTGTGAAACCAGATACTGAAATGCTTATCCAGGGCAGCTCTCTGCTTGCTTTTGCTTGCTTTTGCCACTTCCTCTAGCTTCTTGTGAACTCTGCTGTTATTGTTTATTT